ATTATATCTTGATGTGGCAAAACGAATTACTTAATCCCTGAAACCCCAACACCTGTTGTGAGTTATATAGCATGTTATATCCAAAATTCATATTCAATATAGGTATCTAAAATGAAGCATGAACCTGACACATTTTTTTTTCTTTTAAATTTCTGTTGGTTAATTCTAAATCCAGAAAAGAATAGTATATGCTTCTGGTTGAGATTATATTATTAGACCAGAGGTTTGGTCCAAGTCACTTGTTTACGGGTCTAAATGAAAGGAAGGAAAAATGAAAAAAGTAAAAAGGTTTTATAAATAAAAAAAAAACTAAAAGTTTATTTTTGATAAACCTCTTCATAAATATTTCTACGAGAGAAAAATATATAAAAAAGAAAAATAAAATAAATCTCTTCATAAACTAAAATTAACTTATGCATAAATTAATTTATAAAAAATTTATTTTATTAGTTTCTCCAAAATCTTATTTTTATTTCATGCATAAGATAATTTTAACTTATGTAAAGATTTATTTCAATTTTTCTTTATTTTTTTTAGAAGTGTTTTTGAAAAATTTTATTCAAACTAACTTTAACACGTTTTTGTCATAAATTTATAATGTAATAGCATTGTTTTAATAAAAAAAAACATTTAATTTAATGGTTCTTTAGTTAATGTGCCCAGGACACTTACCAGTTACCCGTAAAACCCTAAATATTTAGCATTTATGAGATACTAATAAATAGGTATACTTTCAGAACTAGAATAATTAATAATTTCTTGATTTCTAAAATAAAAAATTCGAAATAAACTAGAATTAATTCTCTAATAGTGATAAATAATTTGAGGGTGAGAAAAAATTAAAAAAAATTCTCTATAAGTTGAAACTAACTTATATATAAGGTAAAAATAAGTTTAAAAAAATTTCTATAAATTAAATTATACATCAATTTATCTTATTTTTCTCTTCAAACAATATTTCTAGAGAAAATTACTTGAACTGTATTATGTTTGATAAACAAGATAAAAAGAGAGAGAGAGAAAAGAAGGAATATAGATAAAAATAAATAAATAAAGTGAAAGTTGAAATTGTTTGATAGAAGGAAAGTAAAAGAGAAGAGGAGATAAGATAAAATGTTAATTAATTTATAATAAATTAAATTAAATATCAAATTAATAAATTTAAATATTTTATTTATTTTTATTAAAATAATAATAAATTTTAGAAAATAAAAATAAATACAAATTTAAATATAATTGATTATGCAAGTAAACATTCACGTAAAAACTGAAGTACTGTAGCAACATATGAACACAGTACGTACGTACATTCGCAGATGAAGAATAACTATTAACTTTTGCATAAATCTTTTAACTTTTGCGGAGAAGTTTTTTACATTGGTTTCTTTGTTTTTCTCCAAACTTCTTCGCTGCCAAATAAGCGTTGGAACAATATATTCTTTGTCGTTCTTCTCTCTTCCCCCTTACTTCAAGCTTTTGATTTTGCACATTGTTCTTCATTTGTCCATGCATAACGTAAAAAAAAGTATTGACTTGTAGTTGTGCCAAACAAAAAATTATTAACTGTAGCTGATGACCACATTGTTAATCGTTAATGAAACACACAAGTGAGAGGGGTGATAACGTGTCCAATGCTAAGAAGTAAGGACCACTCTAAATAATCGTTATATCTATATCAAACTCAAACATCTACATGTGTCAATAAGGCAATCCATGTCACTCCAAATAATACTCTTAGTCCTTGTTATATTTTTAGTTTTATCTTCTTCTTTTTTTGGAAACTTATTTAAATAAAAATACTACAATAATAAAATAAATGATAGTGTTCCATCATAGTATTATTAACTAATATTAATTTCCAAGATAATATTGTTTCTTTTAATTAAAGACTTTCGCTTTTCATGTTAATAATTTAATGTGCTGTATATATTATTGTGATTCATATAGTAATCATACTATTGGCTAATGCATTTGGTGAGTGTGTTGGTTAGCTCCCGGGGACATGTTTTGAAGCTGTGTCTCCTTCATCGTAGTCGCTGGAGACTCTTTGACGTTTACTTTTTGGGTAAGGACTGTGGTTGTTGTGGGGGTACCCCCACCTTCTGTGTTTTGTTTCTTTTAGATTGTATTCTTATCTATCATAAATTGCTATAATGAAGCTCTATACCTCAACTAGTATAGCTTAAATACCATTATTGCTTTGCACAACCCAAGCATGTGTAACTCACATGTAGTTACTTCAACTGGCACTTAATTTAACTATTTAAGAAAACTTTTTGGATGAAAAAAGTTATTATAGAGAGACTAAATTCACTGTGACTAGTCATGTTTCCAACAAAATTTAACCATTAATAAATTTAGTAAATATTTTGTGTTGATAAAAAAAAATATGTATTATTTAAAAGAGAATACATTATCGAATATACATGATATTATTTTAATTTAATTGGTGATTTTGAATTCAAATCTTATAATAATTAGAGATTTTATATGAATTAGTGAGATAATTATATTAATATATATTATAAGGGAACATATCTCACCTTACACGTCAATTTTATAAAATTGAGTTAAAACTATTTTGTTAAGTTTATAATAAATAGTTGAAAGAAAAGTTTTGTAATTTATGATAGTCTCTTGTTAGACTTAAATAAAATTCTTCCCATTATTAGAAGGCATATCATACAGTCAAAGGTATGACTGACCCCCACACAGATAATCAAGAATCTGATATACAAAAAATCATCAAGTATCCTTCATTATGAGACTTTTCGTGTTTACACACTTGAACTTGGGGTTGTGTACCATACAGTCGGGATACAACTGACCCCCAAAGTCTTGAGATCTAGGGGACATTATGTGACATGCTGGGAAGCCGCCGTTAGTTACACTCAAGATTCCATCGGAAATTATATGTTCAATACAGAAACTCTTTAAATTAATACTCGGTAAATTAATAAACTTTCTAAAATAATGAATTTGTCCGGTCTCGACTTGAGCCAATGTAAAAAATTAAAAAACTCGATAAAATAATAAGATAATAATTTTTCGGGAGATCCCTTTATAATTTTCGGTCCCAAGAAAATCATAAATTAATAATTCATAGAAACTGAAAAAAATATATTACACTCTATTAATTTTCAATGCATATGTACTTCAAAAATTACTAATTTACGTTGAGTCCCAAGGTTCGCTGCAACGTAATTCTAAGAGACATAGACTAATTTGTCTTTTTGTTTGGTATGTACAGTATAATTACTTAAAAACTCTTTAAATTAATAAATATTAATTTATCGATAAATTAATAACTCTCTAAATTAATAAATTTCTCCGAGTCCTGACATTGTTAATTTAAAAAGTTTCTACTGTATTATTTCTCAAGATACTTCACAACATGGACTATAAAGATGCTGCAATTTACATAATCATGCAATATCAGTAATTTGTGCTCAATAATAGTCATAATTGTTGGGATTTGTAGACCTATTTAAGAACAATAAGGATATAGTGTCACCAACGGATTCAGGATAAGAGATAAAAAATTCTAATCTTAAATATTGACTTGATATGCAGGGGGAGACTCATAAACTTAGATGTTAGATTACACTCACTAAATATTTTGACTCGAGTAATTAGTAATTACACACTTTATGTTATCAACAATGTACTTTCTCTGGAAAAAGGAAACACAAAGAATGGAAGTGACCACTAAGGCAACAAATGTCTATGTTTAGTTGTAGTTATCATAAACACAGCATGTTGAGTGTTAGCATTTTATAATCCAGAAACATAACTGTACGGAAAGGGACACTGCCACTGCCAACCCAGAATTGTGAATATCATATGTACTACAACTAGCTAGTTGGTTTTTGACTTTTTGTTGTAACATACAAACTTCCCCTCTAAGAAAAAAAAAAAAGAAAAAAAGAAACTCTTGCTTGCTACTGTTGCTTCTGTTCACATTACACCCAACAAGAAAAGTGGTCTTCTCTTGCTTCATATGCGAATCATCTTTTCATAAGCCTTTCCAGTTTGAGCCAGCAAACACATCATAATCCCAAGCTCCTAACAAAAAGTATTCTTCCATTTTCCTTTGTATACTCTTCTATTATACGTTTCTGTGTAGACCATCACTGTCCTTTATTCTTTAATCGAAAGTGGTGGGGATCGCTTTGTTGTAACGCAAGGAAGTGTCACTTATTATTGGGTTACAATTCTACCCTTCTAAATACTCTATCATTCTTTTCAAAAGATCCATATCTTGAGTCACTTCACAACATCCATTAGGACACTAGGATGCTAATGCTATATGTGCTAGCTAGTAGTAACACCACCAACTTATTTTATCAACACCCATGTGCTCCCTTCTTTTTTTTCTTCTAATATATCGATGCAGTTATGACATTGATGGTTAGCTTTCAAGGAATTTTGGCCCCAAAAAGGTGTTACTTATTTATTTCTTTTTGTGGCTTTCTATAAGAAACATGGATATTGTTAGGTAGTTTCAAACAAACAAAAAAAAAAGTTATTTACTTGGTAATAATACTATAGGCTATAACAGAGAAGATGTAGAAATAGAAGGTTCAACGAATTTAGTCTTGCAGATTTTGATTTTAGCTTGTTTCTTTCCGATTGCCACCATATGCAAAACCACACATGACGGGTGCATTAGCAGTAAAATATTATATATAATTTACACCGGATTTTGTTTATGAAGCATGGAAAATTACGTTTCTATCTAGGCAAGATAAGATGCATAAAGGTTTATTAACCAATTAAAGTCAACTACACTGTCCTCAAGGTTCAAGTTTTTTATTTCTACGTTCATACACATGATTTAAGCAGTGTTTTAAAGTTAACAAATAAGAATTAATTTGTACTTATAGAATATAATTTTCGTTCACCAAATATTATTTTAACACATTTAAGAATCGATTGTGAGAATATCAAGTCACCCTTCCATGTTCAAGTTTCTTTGAATTGCAATGGAGAAAGAAAAGTAAAGAAAACACAAAACCCCTTGATTTAATGTTATAAATTGACAACTTATCTTTCGTAGATTTACATCATCTCTAATAACAGAACAAACTGTCTCTAACCTGTTAGCCAAAACCAAAATTAACAAATATAGCCAAATCATGTGAAGCTTGTAATGAAAGCAAAATCCCCAAAAGAAAATTAAAAGAAACAGTGGGAGAAAAAAAGAATATATATATTTTTAACAGAGAAGCATGTATAATAGGAGCCATTATATATCTTCAAGGACATCTCACATTCCTTCCAGGACCTCCATAGTAAAAGTAAGTTCCCCAAACATTGTTTGATCCCACCCTTATGTCATAGCAATTGGAATGGTCAGCCACCTGGTGAATATTTGACAGAGGAAGCAAATTATTGTCCCAATCAACAACTTGTAAGTTTCTAAAATAAGCTGCTTTTCTAAACCCTTCTTCTGCAAAATGGCCACTTCCCATTTGAGTGCCAGTGTGATAGCCCCTTGAACGAGAATTCACAATTTCCCCTCCAAATTGTACCATGCTAGCATGGCTTCTCAAGTGACTAAACAAGTATGCTGGCCAGTACCCAACTAGTAGCCCCGAACCAAACTCCAGCCACCAATGTCCATGCTTTGGGTCCTATAACAATAGAATTTCATCATGATATCTAAGAATTATTAAATCAAAAGGTTATGCATTTTACATTTTTAGTCCAACTGTCTAACATACATTAATGTGTTGGCATAAATGCATACAAGAAAAATTTTCCCTTCTGGGTTAATTAATATATGCATGTCTTAGTATTATTTAGTGGTGTTACTTGTTTACCATTATTAATGATATTATTGGAGGATTGTAAAACTGAGAAAAAGAAGCTGCAAGACAAATTTTCCTCTTATCTTGGCTCGAGATGCCAGTTAGAGCAAAACCAAAAATAAAAAAGAAAAGCGTGAACCGCGAAATATTGCTTTAATAAAGGAAGGAAAGGAAAAGGCTCAGCTAGAGTCGACCCCATGAAGGACACTGGTACAAGGAAAGCAAGGGAATCTTCCATTTGAATAACAATAACATGCAGAAAAATTCAAAAGAAAAGTAAACGAATTATTGCTTCACTTAGATACGATTTTCTTAATTCTTAACTTAATTGGATAATGCATGATTAACCTTTTTTTGTCCATGTAAAAATGTAGCAAATAACTGTATGAAAAGCAAAAAATCTCAAATTAACAACAAACCATTGAGCCTTTTGTGTTAAGGGACCCTCTTTTCTCCTTAATTGGTGTTTTTCTTTTTGTTTGACTTTAGGTGTTGAATTGCTTTGGAAAAAAAAAAAAAAAAAGAAGAAAAAGACTCACCTTCCAAACCATTAAGCCAATATCAAATTGTCTGCCATTATAGATGGATCTTGGGGAGATTGCTGCCCCTATTGCTATCCTGTTGTTAGTTTGGACAAATCCTGAACATAGTAAGTTGTAGCATCCTGTTGCTTGATATGCATCCGTCTATCAAATAGCACATGTTGTAGTTAAGATGTGAAAGAAACGGGGGTAAAAGGAAACAAAAGAAGAAAAAAGAGACATGCATCACTTACTGTCCAATAAGTGAAGAACCTAGGATAGTTGTCTCCATATAGCTCAGGGCTCACCTGAAGGAAAGTATGCTTGTTATTTAGCTAGAAATTTCAATGGACTAAACAAAAGCAAATAATAAAGAGAAATATAATCCTTGTACATCCTTCAACACCTTCACAATATTCACTAAAAAAATGGATGAATATGAATTTTGGGACAAGTATATGTGGACATGCCTGCCATCCAGCTTCTATGGTATTGAGATCATTACCAAACGATCCAGCAATAACCCATATCTGTGATAAACTGAACTCATATGGATCGGTTACGCTAGGTGTCCACACGTTTATGCTTGCTTTTGCTCCATAATATTGATCACCATTTACAGAAACAACTGCATGCTGCAACAGGATGTGTCAAAATTAGAAGTAAACTTACATATATTCATGCATAAGAATTATTTTCCTATAGTGTGCATTGGTCTTTCATTTATTTCATTTTTTATCTCCTGCAGGAAAAATTTGGTGCATGTTGCATCCTCATCTATAATGATTTCGATGTTACTTTTTGATGCACATAGGAGGCAAAATTTTGTAAGTGGTGTCCCTTCAATGTCTAGTGTTTTTGCAATTCATGTTGAATTTTGATGGATAAGGAAAGGCAGGGTTGTTCTTTTCTTTCTGACAAGGGAAATGAATACAGAATGCTGAAATGTGTTGTGAGAAATGAAACAAGAGCAAAGAAAAGATTGAACTGGAAATGAAAGTTCAACAAGCAAATTGCATTTGTCAGCACTAACCTCATGACCAGTGCCAGTTGAGTCCCTCCGTACACCACGTCTTGGTTTTCTTCCAAATCTTCTGATAGAGCTTGCTCGTAGAAAATCCTGTTCAGTTGTTCTTCTGATTGGAACAGTTCCTTCTGGGCACACTTCACCAGAATCAGTCCAAAGCTGAAAGCTCTCTATGGCAGTTTCTCCATTGGTGTGGTGACCCTTTGGCCTTTCTGGTGGATCCTGAAAACCTTAAGCCTCTTACTTTCTCAGTCTCTCAAATAAAATTCAATCCCAAAAGTAAAACCTTTAGTCCTTTGTTCAGACTAAAAGATGGCCAATGGCTACACTGGAATTCCACAATCCCCAGAACGGCTCAACAATTCTGAGGAATGTGGACATATCTGAAATTCAGAGCAAAGTTCTTGGCGTATGAGTTGGATGAAATTACCAATGGTCTTTGCCCTTTGAGGTTAGGATGGTCAAAAGCAGGTTGCTGATGAGATAAAACACAATCTATCAAATCTCCATCTGGACTCTGCAAGAAAGGAACAAAAACATAGATCATTGAATCAGAAAGAAAATGCAATAGTGTCATTGTCATACACATGTTGCAAAAGCAAAGGAAAATGCCTTGATTGTTTTAACAGCAGGCTTGTTGATCTTCTTGAGGTGAGCTCTGATTCTCCTGAACTTTTGCAACACTGCAGCTGGTCTCAAAGTGTGGTTAGCATTGTGGTGAGAGAGTACTGGCAAAGGTGAATTGGAAGCAATGGGGTGAGAGAATGCTGTGCCAATTGAAGTAAGGAGTAGGAGGAAAGCAACAAGGGCAGGTAGCATAGGTAGTAGAGTATTTTGGGAAGTGGAAAGAGCCAATTTGAAGGAATGATTTGGTGAAGTTGTTTCTTCTGTGGCATCATGATGTGCTTGTATGCATTGGTGTTGTCTTCTTCTGTGATGAGCTGCAAAATATGGCTCTTTCTTATGTTTTGTCCAGGAAACTGAATATCCCTTCATGTCCATACAAAACAGAAGAACTACCAAGAATTAGAAGAACCCCTTAGTTTGTTGGCTGCCTTCACGTTTTTTCAAATTATAAACAACTCATACTGTGAGAGAGAAAGAGAGAGAGAATATAGTGATTTTAATTTTATGCTCCCAACCACACCACACCATCAAAACTAGCACCAGCACACAAAATAGACCCCAGCCCCGGATAGGTGGGGTTTCATTTTCCAAGTTTACTTTTTCCTCAGACTGTACTGTGTACACAGACAGTGGAATAATTAAACAGAGAAAGAAAAAAAATATAACCGAGAGTTATGTGATGTATATAGCTTTGTGGATTGTTCTTGTTTTATTCCTCTCTCTCTCTCTCTCTCTCAGAGTTTGTACTAAATACTACAGCATTTTAGGCACGCAATTGATCAGAATAGGAATATAAACCAAAGTAATTTACATTGGAATTTCTACCACAAACTACAAAATCTTTTGTTTGAATGTATTTAGATTGTGTTGGGATAACACCAAGAATAAATTCTATCTTCAAAGTCATGGTAGCACCGTGAAAAAGTTAGAAGTATTTATCGTTTTGCCTTCACCATAAAAAGAAATCAAGAGAAAAAATGTTAGAGCAATCTTATTCTGTCTTCTTATTTTTATTCTTAGAAGTGTTGAGAAATCTATTTGAACTGTCTTTAAATAACGTTGATAAATGTCTTCAGGATATTAGTTAAAAATAATAAAAGTGAAACATCTTTATTAAAAAAAAGCATTATTAATGCACTCTATCATCGTATTTTTTTTAATAAAAACTATTTTTGATTTTTTAAACCAATACGCATAAGATCCTTTTTAGTAAAGACTTTTTTTAACTTTTTAATAACTAAAAAGAGAACACCTTAAAATGTGTGAAAAGTCCGTAAAAATAAGAGACCCATAAAGTATCATTTTCCACAGGAGTGTTGATGTTAAGCCAGTTAAAATTGTTTAATGTGTTAAACTAAACCAGTTCAGCTTTACCATGTCTTGCGTACACTTGAATTCAAGTTTCATTCCATAGTTTAAACTTTGTGGTGTGATCCTAATTGTGCTTGAACCCCACGGCATATTGATATTATTTGGCTATCCCCATGGGGAAATCTGCTTTTACTTTCCTCTGCTCATATTATTAATTGCAATTCATACGACCCAAGAGAAATTTGACTTTAAGATCATGGAGCTACCTCTTCTAGTGTGAGATCTATGCACCAGACACCAAAGCAACTTTAATGGGCCATGCCTAATAATTATACTTATATCCATTGCCAACACCCTATCATGAATCATATATGAAGGAAACAACCATCACAACTTATTATTATTAGTCTTAACTCCTTTTTGACTAATAATAATCACCTTCATTACCAAAATGTTACTAGATACTACTAGTACTATCTTTGCTCTAACACACCAAAGGCTGCATGTTTAGGCTAATCCCCATTTACGACATCTATTACTCTGTCTCAACCACATTTATAGCAAAAATAAATAAATTATGTATCTGAGATTTATGTTCTTAGAGTAGGATGAATGAGCTAATAAGTAATCAAACCTTTCACATTATTATCAATGCACAGTAGTAAAACCAAAACAAATCTAATTTAAGTTAATTTCAAACTCATTTATCCATTTTAGAGCAATGTTATTTTCACTACGAAATTTTATAAAACTTTTTACCATGAAGAGATAGAAGGAGAAGAGAGAGAAACATTAGATAAAATAAAATAATATGATGACATTTAAATAAATAAAAAAGTGATATAAAAATAATGTTGTGTGAAAATAACGTTACCTTGTTTCACTTTCGAGTGAGCAAGTTTTTGACGTATTGAACATCGTTAACTGATGTCAATGATGGTCAAAGGAGTCAATGAGGTCTGTGTGCCGACATATGACAATTCATGGGTGTGATTGGAGAGTATCTGTTGTGTTGTTTGGTTGTCCCTTGAAATTTAAACTTACGTACCAAACTCCTCTGTTGTAAGTCATAACTTCTGTAAATTGTAAGGAGCAAAATAAGAAAATATGTCAATAACTTGCTAACAGGAAATCTTCCTTTTTTTGATACAACAAATTATTCTTTTCAATAACCTCATATCTCTCTTCTTTTTTTGTTCTAATAAAAGATTCTAATTTATATAATAATACAATGTCATATTTTATTCCTATTCACACATGTCTTCTGTTTTTTATTCAGTTATATAAATTTGAAGATGTCAATATTAGGGGAAAAAAGGGAGATTCAGTATAGTTATTAAATTTGAGGCTAATTTACCGTGATTTATATGGAAAGCTCACTTTTTGTGTAGGTTTTGTGTTCTAATTAAAGACCGACTTTTATTTAAATTTAAAGATTTATTTATTTTAAAGTTAGATAGAAATAATTTTGAATTGTTGAATGTAAATAGGATGTGTTTAAATTAATTTTAGTCATGAACCGAATATCACAATATGTATGTTTATTTATTTATTTGAATCTCAGAAAATTATTTTTTTAAGGGAAACGGGCACGCCTCAAACCAAACTGCGAAAAGATTAATATGCACGCGGAGAAGACATAGTAGCAAAATCACCCCTCATTGTGATGGATAAAAAAATAATTTTCTAATGCTCAAACAAATAAGAGATTTTATTTTTTTTTGAAAAAAAGTAAACCTTTTGACCGATGGTTTTAAAGTTTGTTATGAGATATAGCAAATTAACTTAGTGTTCTTAGAATTGATTTCTTGATAAAATAATGTTTAATTTGGCCAAAATTATATCACACAAACACATATGAGTACATAATTATCAATTTTGGGACATTATATATAGATCAATACTTGTTTTTTTAGCTTTACTACGCTCTGTAAAATATATTCATGAAAAAAAAAATGAGACTTTTTTATTTTAAAAAAGTTTCTTGCTATTTATCCACTGTGTCCACAAAGGTAGGCTATCTGTGTAAAAGAAATGTTAAGAAATCTTTCTAACACTTGCTTGTTACTAATATTTTATGTATTATTGGATATATTTTTAAAAATAGATAATGAGTTTCTCTCTTAATTTAATGGTAAGGTTTACTCAATTTTGTATTTGTGATTTTTAACTAATAATAAAATTAAAAATTATTAATAAGAGAACTGCTAGAAAAAAAAGTATTGTCAACATTTTTCAAATATATGTATGTATCATTATTTTTCACAATGTTTTCTGTAGAAACAAAAGAAATAAAGAAAAAAGGAAATAAGTAAGAAACAAGTGAAGAAAAAAAATTACATAAAAAAATAAGTGAAAACAAAATTATTTGATTGAAGAGAAATATAGTGAAACTTAACTTTTTGAGATAAATTATTTTTAATATTTAATATTATTATATATATATAATAAAAATAAAAAATAAAAATAAAATAAACCTTCTTGTCCTTACTAAATGTGGTTTTTCTTATTAAAGTAAATTATGGGAGACAGGAAGCCATAATCATTTTTGAAAATTAGAAAAATTTAAGGGATGAGAATAATCGATTATGTATAATAAGAACATCGCACAATATATTGTATTGATACATTGTCAAATCTTTCATCTTATTTCTCCTCATTTCCTATTGATACACTTTCAAATCCTTCATCTTATTTCTCCTCATTTCCTAGATAACAAATATAGCATCTCATTTTGATAATTAGGTAACTTAAAAGTTAAAGAGTTAATCTTAAACTATTTTTTTATTATTTATTAAATTTAAGTATTTGATAAAATTAGTTATTAAATTGATTGATATTAGTAAAATGAATTTAAAATATGTGTTTATATAACTTTTTAGCAAACATTTTTTTTTTGGAAAAAAAGTCTGAAACAATGTTAAATATTGTGTGTGACAAATTGTTTCATGTAGCTTTTATTTATTTAACTAATTTATAAATTAATTGATTAAAATAGAGATATATTTGAAAAATATACTTTATCATGCTAATTTGAAAACATTATATATATATAT